ACTTCAGCTTTGTGCGGTTGAGGATTGCGAGATTTGACGACGTCTTTCCAACTTTTTTCGGCCGCTGTCGCCTTGTCCACTTGACCACATTCACCGCATCGATTGACTGCATGATTAACTGAACGATTTTGAAACTGACACGTGTATGTTCCAGCTAGGGGGGAGGGGGCTTAGGCTGCAGTAACTGTCAGCTAACGATGCTTCAGGAGGGTTAGGAGCTCCAGAAACCCACTATAAACCAACTTCTTGTGTAAAAAAAGAGGCTAGTGAGTATTCTTTTCTTTGAAGCTTAATTATATGAAAGATCTTCGCCGCGACCAAAAAATTGACCCTGGAATGCTATACAACGAGGCGTGGGGCTTCCGTCCGGAAGAAAGCGTTAGATAAGTTTGAAAATTTTGCGAAACTTGTTTAAGATAATGCTCCAACTGTAAATATGCCTAATTGCACTATTTGCAGTCATCCATATTGCCTTAGCTTCAGAATAAGCACAGCATAGGTCTAGCATATTCAAATACTCATTACTATGTCTGCTGTTGAAGCCAATATCATTACTTATAAGGAAAGGTCAGTCAGTTAGTCCGCTTATTTAAAATGAATGTGTAGCTGTATACTACGTGGTTTAGACGCTGACTTCAAGTTTGCTTCCGCTATCAGTGATGATTTTCTGGCAGAAGTTATGAAGCAAAGTTGCAGCGGTAGTGAACCTAACTCATAGGCAAGAGGTCGCGAGTTCGACTCTAATGCGAGTCCCTTCACTTGCTAGTACCCAATTGCTTGCGCATTGCTGGAATGCTGGCGCATACCTCAAATCACTAGAACGCATCCTCGTACCACTCCGATTGGTTGCAAAGTCTGACACCTGCATTGCATTAATTATGTTGCTCTACCATCATTTCGGATTGTATTCATTTGGGCGGAAGTGGTGTAGTGGCAAGTGGCACGCTTACCACGCGAGCGGTCCGGGGATCAAATCCTGGGTCGTGAGTCGCCCGGGCCAACCAAGCCTTCCATCCCTCCGGGGTCGGTTAATTGGTACCAGACTTGTCTGGGAGGATAAAAACACTGACTTACATCGGCTGGCCCGCAAGTCATTGTATAGGCCACATCGCATTCAAACGCCACTACGAATGTACAAATGGAAGTAGAATGCGTGCCGCATCCCAAGACGGGATTGATAAGCGACGAATGCTTTGTCCTTTTATCTTCATTCACCTTTTGGACTCTTTTGTTAACACATTGACGCCCGTACCGATTTCGGCGCATGTCACACATGTAACATTTCTGCATTACTCGCGGCATACCCGCGAGCACAAATGTCACATTCGACATTCTAGGAATCGATACAGACCATAAGTGCCATGGAAAACTGGGTGTCTCGCCATGGACCCACACAAACTCAAATATGGAGTGTCAAGTGGTATTACCCTTTCTTTTTCTGTTCTCCTTTTTTTCTTTTTACTCTTAGCTTGCTCTCCTTTTCATCCGAAAGTATATGCAGTAGTTCGTAATCACTAAAATTGGTTGTATAGTTTTAAGGGCTTAAACTGAAGCTGGCTGTGCGACTTTCAAGTTCCGAAATTGAGGCAGATAGCAGCCATGTGTTTAATTGATTCAAGGATCGAATGGAAATTGTATAGACACATGAGCAATGAAAAAATGTTGAAGAAGTTCAGAACCGTGCGCGTACCCGGTGATGCCACAATGTCAAATTGCGGAGTGGCGTGCATATCGGTGAGCACGCGGGCTGCCAAGTAGTGTAAATTTTGTCGCGAGTTGCACGGACTCTTTGTTTGACGGCTACTTTCGGGTGATTGCCTCTCCAAAGTCTTAGAAGATCGAAGCGTTTCACGACTACCTGACCAACACCTAAGGTAACTACTGAACGTCGAGATCAACTGTTATTCACATATTCATTCAATCGTTCCATCCATCATTCTGATGTTCAAAAGAAGTACTCACAGAGCGGTACCCAATGATACATACTATATGAGGGCTGCATCTTTTAGCGAAATCAACAGGCCACGCCTAGAAATCGGCCTGGTTGGGCGCCTAAATAGCTGCTACCTACGTCCTCTAGAAGAACGTGGTTTGCAATTCTCCCTTTTGCCATTGCACTCTCTCATTTCTTCCTTTATTCAAAAGTAATCCCAGTAGTGATTTTGCTTTTCCTTCCCGTTGGCATTCTTCGATGAATCTATTTAGGTTGTCCCATCTCCAACGGTGTTCCGAATGGAGACAGACCTTCTGGTTGGGAAAGAAGGACACCCACGACATTCAATCACCAACATATCTGTAGCTCAAGTGAACACGGTGAGTAACAGCTCCAGCCTTTGCTCTTTTCCATAAATGTCATTCAATTAATGAGAGGTACCAGAAGCCCTTTGGTGGGTGAGCTATCGCGAGGCAAAGGTGGCTTCTATGCGGTATGAAGAGTCGAAGAAGCGCTTAACTCTTGCATGCCGTCAGAGACTGCCGCTCCTGTTACACGTGGAGCAACGATACATTTAGTTGGGTGTCTGCGCCCTCTTCTCCGATTTGCTCTCTCTCCCATTCTCTCTCCGCGGCGCTCAGTTTCTCTTTGTGGTAGCACAGCCTACCTCAAAAGAAGTAAGGCAACCCTTAATTTCAGTGAATCCAGCTGATCTTTTTTCTTCCTACTAACTGTCTACTTCGCAACCCAATCACTTTCGCATGTAAGAACCACACCGACTTGATCGTGGTGTGCGTCTTTGAGGCCAATATTGGTCGCTAGTTGTAAGGAGGGTTCTGTGGTTGCAAGAGGAGCTGCTTGCATTTCACCTGCAGCGCAGTCGCGTCGCAACGGTGCATTTTTCTGACTTATACACAACTGGATTTTTCCGCCCTCTAAGCGTGGGGGTTTTGGTTGTGGGTCAATTGAGACGGATATTAACACGTTGACGACATCGCGCGTTTTGGGTTTTTGCACCGCGTGGGACAAGAGCGATTTTGCGCCGCACACCAAATCCATGGATTTTGAGCTGTAAATACGCAATACTTAGATGCGATGAAGTGTTTTCAATAATGTTCGATCTGTCTAACTTATCGGGAGTTACAGTAATGGAAGTTTGACCGAAATGACGTGTTAAGGCCATGAAAAGGCAAATTTTACTTACTTTCCCTTTAGTGGTTCCAAAATTAATTTGGACGTGGTTGTTTCAGTAAAAACACATATCTTCCCATACGAATAGGTTTGTATTCGCTTCTATTATTCCTTTTTATCAACATGTTTACGTTAATGAAAAGAAAACGAGGAATGAACTGAACAGACATATCCGTAAGGTCTGGAAAACCTCTGCCAAACTAAAGATATATTGGCCTTTCTGTGAGCC